TCATTACTAAACTATCAACTACAAAGAAATAAGAAAGGAAAAGGACAAAGCTGCATGGCAAAATACCCTAGTGTTTTTCCACATCAATAATAGCAATAAAAGTAACCATTCAGGACTGTGAGAAAGAATAATCTAACAAAAAGTAGAAAAAAGAGAGGAATATGGGGCTAGACCATTTACAAGGGGGTAACTGATTACTGAGATGTAAATAAAAAGAGTAGGAAAAATGAATAAGGCTTTTATTGTGGCTGTGGGGAGAAGAGAAATTAAGAACTGATAACAATAAAATGTGGGTAAATAAGATGTTTCAAGATGAAAATTAATAATCATCACTTACAATAAATTGCTGTTTAATTTATTACATTATATTGTTTATTAATGATAATATACCTCTTAAAATATGCTTATAATTTTAAATTTCTTAACCATGTTTAGTTGGGTTAGATATATTTTCAGCAAAAACAACTTTATAATGTTCTATAAAATGTGAGCATACATATTTATTATAATACACAAAAATAAAAACCTGATTATATTGGCTATTTTGCTATTTTAAACATACTATAATTTTGTATGCCCTTACACTTTTAATTAGTATAAGTAAATTTATGTGTGCTTATGAACGTTATTGTTAAAGTCCAATGTAAATTATTTCTGCCTTCAGTGTAGCATGTTAGAATACATTTCAGCTAAAGGTGCTAGCTAATTGAAAAAGAAATGTCTTAATTCATTTCACAGGTTTTTAGTTTGTAATATGGTGGCCTCAAAAAACATATGTTACCAACTTAAAAGTTTATTTTAATCTTGCTAAATGTGACAAATTAGGTATTTCTTTCAATGTTTTAAAATCATTTGAAAAAGATAAAAGAAATATTTTTTTCTTTTAACAGAAGTTGTCATTAGATTGTCTCTATTTTATTGTATCATCATAGGAACACTTAACATGAGATCTGCCCTCTAGCCATATTTTTAAGTGTACAATACAGTATGTTATCTGTCGACGCAATGTTGTACTGCAGACCTCTAAAGCTTATTCATCTTGCCTAAATGGAATTTTATACTCAATTTGCTCCTACCCCCAAACCTTAATACCCACCCTTCTATTCTTTATTTCCACAAATGTGACTATTTTAGACACATTATATAAGTGAAATCACACAGGGACTTCTTCTGGGACTGGCTTATTTTACTTCATTTGATGTCCTCAAGCAGAATCTGTCACTTTTTATGTTGAATTTTACTACAAACTTTTAGTAAAAGTTTTTGTTTATTTTTGTTTTCTTTGTTATGTTTATTTTTGTTTGTTTTCTATTTAAATATTAAACATATGTATTTTAAATATTCTCTTTAGGATAAAAAGGGTAAAATGATTTAAACAGTATTTAGCTTTTCCAGAAATGGTAAGGGGTGCTTAGAGAAAATATAAGCGAATCCAGTGGATTTGAATTAGAGGTAAACTGAAGGTTATAAGATCACTAAGTGAGTTAAATGTTGCCATGATAAAAGCAGCATTTAGAATTAAAGTTTGTATGTGGGTGACTTGGAATAATTGTTCTTATAATGATAAGATAATTTCAACAGTAATTTCTTAAAATATACATATGTATCATAGATATAAAAATATCACACCCTATGCTATAAAATGATGTTATAATCTTGGGGCATTTTCATATTTTAAAAAATCAAGTATTTAAAAAGTTAGCTTAAAATAGTAAAGCATTCTCTAAAAATCTACTTTTGATGAACTGGAAAAGCTTAAATAAGCTAATATTTAAGGTAATATTAACAAATAAGGTAATATATTTCAATAAGGTAATATATTACAAATAAGGTAGAACAAATAAGGTAATATATTTCAATAAATAAATGCACGGGCCACTTTTAAATGATTTACCCAAAGATAGGATAAAAATAAAACTTTTAAAAAAATCCACATTTCTAGAGATGATCTTCTTTGGCTTTTTATATGATGGTTAAAGATGAAAGATTCTACTAGTTCATAATTCTGGATGTCCAGAGGGCAGGCAGTCTGGGAAAGTCACGGAAGACCCTGGCTCTTTCTGTCTAAAACTGTGGTCCTTTGCTCAGCTACATCCTCAGGCTGTTTCCTCCTGAAGTTGGAGGAGGTACTTTGGGAGCCATTGCCTCCTCAATTCCGCCTCCTACAAGAGAAGTGGAGAGAGCCTCTCTCTAATAGTAAAAACAAACCAAACCAAATCAAACCAAATCAAACCAAAACCTTTCCACCAGTTTTAATAGCCCAACATTTGTCACATATTCACTTATAAAGTAGTTATAGAGTGTCAATCAAAAATGTGCTTAGAGCTGGGTTTCTGAACCAGTAGCTACAAGACAGGTGGGATTACTATGACTGGCTTAAATGGATCGTAGCCAGGATGTGGAGTTTTGGCCAATGGCCAGTGCAGTCAGTAAGACATGAGATAGATTTGAGGAAATCAAGTGTCATGTCTAGTTCTGCTAACCATGACACTCTTCCTATACAGATATGGAACAATATACAACTCATAGACTATTTGAATTCCAGATATATAGGCTTAAAATGGTTATATTGACTAGCACTTTTGCCTGTTTTTAGCAAAAGACATATTTCTTTGCCCTTTCTACTCCATGCCACACAAATGAAAGGATGGATACCTAATTTGACATTTGGTGATATGGTTGACTAATTTCATTAAGCTAAATGTCACTTAGTGATACTTCAAATCACAAAACAGAGAAGTACATATTCTAAAACTGCATCCCATAACCATCTTATTGTGAACCTACTATTTGTCAGGCAATTAAGTCCAATGAAGTATATATGGTGTTTCCTTCTGATAGATGAAGAAATTATGGCTTAAAAAGGCCAAGAAACTTCCCCAAGTTGACTGAGTTAAGAGATTGATGCAAGACCATAGCCAGTTCCCTTACTATAAGTCCAAATATCTTCCACTGTATGCATTGTAACATGTTCACATTGTATCTATGCCTAACAAGATGCTAAAAGTGGACACTTTCTGCTCAGTTTTGGGAGAGGCCACAATAGCTGAGAACAAAGCAAAAGTGACCAGTATCCCCATATTCCACAGGGAAGAGATAGACCATGAATGCCAGACTGGTGATATTTGTGATCTAAACCTATTTAGTGACCTTTGGCCTATTATTCTCTTCTAGGGTAAGAGATTGGTTATGAAGAAACAAGCAGAGAGACTTTTCTTTTCAGAGAACTTTGTAGGAATGCTATGGCACTTTCCCTCTAATATCTTATACCCGAGAAAATAAGTGTGATTACCTCTCTCTCAAGATAAGTTAGAATCATCAGAAGGACTTCTCCTAGGGACTGACCTCGGCCGCTTAAAGGTTATGGGAGAAGTTGAGACTGAAACTGGACCATACTTTGGAAAATTCTAAAGGTAAGAGACTATATAGCTGGCATTCTGGCTAGAGACACACACAGCAGAGAGGGTTATACTTCTAACAACGATGAGTCAAAAGTTCCTATTTCTAGCTGATCAGATGAGTTTTATTAAGTTTATCCAAATATAGGTAATGTCTGGGGGCTGAAACAAGAGTCATGCATGGCAACCCAGAGGAAATGCATTACCTCAGTAATAATGAGAGAAGCTGGTATCTTTGGTGAACTTCCAAAGTTTCTCAGAAGAAAGTCAGCTTAGAACATCCAGCAATCTCTGAGAACACCAATAACAGAGAACATCAGAATCAAGCAAGCAGAGTTGTTCTTCGCCTTCAGCTCTCTTCTTTTTACCAACTCTGTCTCAGACTAGAAACCACGCAACAGTGAGTAGGGCAGGAGGAGAAAGAAGCGGGAAAAGAGAGTTGAATGCAGCCCCGACTCAGCCATACTGCAGTTTCCAGCCTGAAAGAAGACTGAGTCATAGGAGAGGAGAAAATTAAATGAAAATGAGGAATTGGAAACATATTAGAATGGCCATTTAATTTCTGAAATTAGATTATTATAAGATCCTAAAAAATTTATATTATCTAACAGTGACTAAAGAAGTTGTGGAGCTTGCAGAGATCCATCCAGATAAAAGGATAACACAGCCCACTGTGGAACATGAATAGTTGCTTTCTGAGTGCAGCCTGGGGAGCACTGTGCTTTCGACATGCTGGTACCATACACCCGCGTCCTAACAATAACAACCATCACCTTGTATTTGAATAAATTGCCTTTCCATTAGTATACATTTAGTAACTGGACTTCCTTTTGTATTGAGTAGTGGAGTTACTGCTCACCAAAGAATTAACATTTTGGTGATTACAGAGGTTTGGGTCCAAGCCTTGCTGCTTGCCTGTTCTAGTTTTCCAGTCTTGGATCCATTCACACTTCAGCTTTTCCATTCTCAGTTTCTTTAAGTACAAATAATATAAATATGCTTTCCCTTAACATAGTTTTTCACAGTCAAATATGATTTTATCTCACAGAATATATTTGGCACTATCAGGAGACATTTTTAGTTACAACTGGAAGGTGTTACTGGCATCTAGCAGAAAAAGGTTGGAGGTATTGCTAAACATAGTGCAAAACAGGAGAGTCTCCCACAAAAAATAATTACCTGGCCCCAAAATCAATGTTGCTTAGGGTGAGAGAACCTCCTTTTACACAAGGCCTATTAGCTATAAAATATGTAAAATGTCAACCTCAGGATTTGACAGAGAAGGGACACTTAATGGAAGCTAATGTAACCCTTAGCATGAATGTGACTGCAAGTAATGGAATGTCCAACTTAAACCGGCTTAAAAGAATAGGAAAATTATTAGGTGACACAAGAGGAAGCTGTGGTGAGGACGGGCTTCAGCAGAGACCAGAGGTGCCATCACAGACGTGGATTCCTGACTGTCCTCATGTGCGCAGTGCTAGTTTCCCTCTAAAGTTTGTTCCCCTCACCGTGCAGATGCCAGTGAGTTTAAAGCTACATGTTTTGAGGTTCACATCTAATCAGAAAAAGAAAAATACAGCCTTAATAGTATCTCTCTCTTTAAATATTGAATGTTTCACAATTTTGCGAGTCATTCTTGCACAGGGGCCCTGCTAATCTTCTCTGTATCGTTCCAGTTATAGTGTACATGCTGCCAAAGTGAGCACTGTAATTCTCTTAAATACAAAAATGTTATGTCCCAAATGTGCCAAGCAAACCTGTCCTCAACATGCATTGACCCATCTAAGCCTATTCCGAGACATTCCTGTGGCTCAAATATGTTTAGCTTAAGATAACTAGATGGCGTATAGTGGGAAGTGAATGTGGAGGGGAGAGGACAGCGACAATGACCAGAACTTCTGATTATTACCATCATCATTTTCATCCTTCTTTATTTATAAACATGGAAACCTTAAAACAATAATCTGTAAATTCAAAATGCAGTATCAGAAAAGTGTTAGAAAATAATTACTGATATATTGAGATTGTGTGTCTTCAGAGCAATAAACACAAAGTAAAAGATGGTATGATTGAGGAAATAAGTTGGTTTGACAACAAAGTTTCCAAGAGTGAGGGAGAACATAAAACTTGGAAAAGGAATTTTATCAGATGAAATATTCCATTAAAAAATATAATTTGAAGAGGAGAAGTTAGAATACAAAAGAGGACCATGGAAGAATTATAAACTCTCTCATTTCTGGAAGAACAGTATTCACTTGCAAATTAAGACCAAATGTGATAAGAGGAGAGGTGCTTTTGTTAAGGGAGGATGTTAATAAAGACCAGAGAGGCAGAGCTGGAATTCTGTTTCCCACATAATAAACTGAATTTAAAACCAAAGAATAAGTAAATTAAACACTCCACATGATTGTATCAGAATAGAATGTTGTGATAATTCAATACAGAGGAAGGACACTAGAAGAAAAATTTTAAATGTCAAAGATCTGGTCTTAGAAGAATACCTCTGATTTTTTTTTAAAACCAAACCAGCTCAAAATGGTCATGAGCAGCCATTTATTTGGGGGAGATACTAGATTTGGGGGATACTTTCTAACTCATGTATTTTTCTTTCTTTCCAATTTTTTACATTTCTTTAATATACAATTTCCTTTACTTCATGGATATACTACTCATGACTATGAGGATCCTGGAAATCTTTCTGCCTCTACACATCTTTCCCCTCCAATATTTCACATAACTCCATTAATTGTCTAACTTTTGAAAAGTTTGAAGAATATAGGAGGATGATGAAGTAAAATGTTCTGGAAAACCATGATGAGGTTTAGCATATTTGACCAACAAAAATTAAAATACCACTGACCTCTGCATGTTAGAAAATAACAGATGTCCAATTAAATCTCTATTACAGTGAAGCATCAACAATTCTCTATGGCAAGGTGAGAAATTTAATCTGAAACTGCTAACAAGGAGTAGTTTAGGAAAAACAAACACTATTACTTCAGAAACCATTTTTTGTATGATAATTATGTTCCAAGTATTATGTTCTTGGCTCTGCAGGTAAACAAATGAATGTGTTGATGCTGCCCCCAGCTGATGATTTAATGTAAATCCTTAAGGAGAGGTAAATGCAAATATGTGGGCTCCCCAAAAGAAAGAGAAAAAAGCACCTATGTGCATATTATCTAATAAGAATGGTAATAATGACTCGCAAGCCTATATTCCTCCATATTCAATATCCCATCCATAGAGCAATAACCATGTCCTTGAGCCTTATGTTTTCCATTTCTATGATATCACTAGTTATACATATTTATGCATTTAGTTATACTTTATTTTCGCTGCTACATAGTATTCCTCTGTATAAATATACTTCAATTTACATATTCATTGTTCTGTCAGTGAATGTTTGGATGATTTTTGACTTTTTGCTAATACAAGAAATGTAACCATGACTATGTGTCTCCTCATCAACATTCAGGACAGCTTCTCAGCAATTATATCTTATAGATGAGATTATCAGGTTATAAGGTATGAACATTTCAAATTTACAGGGTAATGATGAATTGTTTCGCAAAGAGATTATACCAATTTACCTCTTACCAGCAGGCAAAATTACAAGTTTTGTTTTATATACTCTAAAAACTTGATTTGTGGATATTTTGGGGTTTACCAACATAATCGATTATCATTTGTGTTTAATTTGTATTTCCCTGAATACCAGTGTTATTGAATATATTTTGATAGGTTTATTAACTATTCTTATTTCCCCTCCTGGAAACATTTCACAGGGTAATTCTGGAGATTTCAGTTTGTGTATAGGAGATTTTTCACAAATCCATTAAACTAACCCTTTGTCAGTTATATGTTTTACATATACCTGCAAGTTTGCATTACTGAAGACAACTTTATGAAATGTTTACACTGAAAAAATCTTAATTTCCTGGACTCATATTTCTCAATATTATTCTATATGACTTGCACATTTTCTCTTTATTGTTAATGTATTGCTTAAATATTTTCCATATATCATACAAATTTCCCTATTATTTTTCAAAAATTTTAAGATTTGTTTTTGTGCACAAATCTTTACTCAAACTGGAACTGAGTTGAAATTACTATAGTCACAAATTTCAAGTAGTTTCAAAGGGATATTTAGCTGTTCCTAAAGGATTATAAATAATCCATTCTTTCTCTCACTGATCTGCAAATATATCTCTATCTTATATAGTTCTTGCAATTATGTGGATTTGTTTGTAGGTCTCTATTTTCTTTCACTGGGCTCTTTCTTGACTATCTCAGTGCTAATGCTGGGTTGTCTTAATAAAATTATATGGCAATTATTATTTAATTTGGCCAAGATCTTAACTTCATTTTTTAAATATGTCTTGGCTCTTCTTGATCCTTTTTCTGTTTTATATTAATTTTATAAATGTCAAGTTTCATGGCAAAGACTATACTTTTGTCTGGAATGGCATTTAACCTACAGATTTTAGAAAAAGGTATTAGAAGAAGGTATCTAGGAATAAAACTAGGAATTTTAGAAAAAGGTATCTAAGAATAAAACTAACACAAAATACAAAATATTTTCTTAGATAAAATTACAATCCTTAGAGAAATTTTTAATACCTTCTTGAAAGACATTAGATGATATACAAAAAATGGGGATATCCCTGGCTTATAGATAACAAGGCTGCTTGGACAAATATTCTTTCAACCTTCCCTTCATTTCTCTAGATATGCCCTGCATATTCCCTATATTTGGTTCCATTGTCTTTTGTGTAGTTTCCTCAGTGCTCCCTTAACTATTTTTATTGTGTCTAATCTGATGTTAATTGGATTATTAATTTCAACATTATTTTTCATTTTCTGAAGTTTCATTTGATTCATTTCCTAATTTGTTTGGCAACTTTTCATAACCTCCTATTCCTAAGATTTATTTTGAATCACACACACACACACACACACACAGATATACAAACACACATACACATATACTGGTTTTCCATTTCTGATATTTTTCTAAACCTGGAAACACTGAGAGACTAACTTTGATTTCCATTAATCTTCTCGGTCTTATTGTCTCATTATAGTTCTTTTTCTCTTCATATTTTCTTATGTTGTAAATTTATGTTAATGAAATCTGATCTGTAAAAAATATTTTAATCTTGTATTAAAGGAGAGTTTCTTTAGAGAGAAACTATGATTGCTTCTGCCAGCTGTCTGTAAGGACTAAAAATCAGGAACTAATTTAAAAACAATTTACACCTTAAGGTTGTTTGGAACCAAAAGTATGATAAAATTCAGGTCACATATATAATCCATGTATCAGTTTGAGGTTTTTGAATTCTCAGGAGACTATCTATCTATACACCCATTTACTGTCACTCTCCAGGACTTTGGCTTTAAATAGACAACTCCAATGAGTCACCCAATTGTATATATGTCCTTGTTTTGTCTCCTTTTTCCTGTATTGTATACACTCAGTCAAAAAATGAAACCTTAAAATCTCTCCAAAAGCAAATAACAAGTTTATAAATTGCTTATCTCTCTCTATGTTCCTATTTTCACTTCATGTTTTGATTCAGTTAATACCCATTAGTTTCCTGTGAGGGGTGTGTGTGTGTGTGTGTGTGTGTGTGTGTGTGTGTGTGTGTGAGAGAGAGAGAGAGAGAGAGAGAGAGAGAAAGGGATTTAGAACTGTTTCTTATTTACACTAAAATATTTCTTCAGTGTATCTGGTCTTCCTTTCTGACAGAAACTCATAATCAAAATTTCAGTATATATTTCTAAATTGTTATTTTTGAGTGATTTAAATAATTAAGAGCTATTAAATTATACATCATTATATAAATGTAAATGTAAAATAAAATGCATTTCATGTTATACTTCTTTCTTGATAGTTATATCAAAGTGAACTGCTGTTACCTTCATAAAACAGTGTCTTATGTTGTTACTCTAAGCACATTTGCATTAATAGGAAACTTTCTACTGGGTACATATTTGACAGAATATAATGATACTAGCTATTTCAAAAAAGTTTCAGAAAATGTATACTAATACATTTAATATAAATGTATCAGACTTGGTTCTGAGATAATTTTCATAACCCATGATTCAGGAATATGCCATTAATGAAATTACACTAATATGAGGTCCTTTCAAAATGTTTCTGAACTAAGGCTGTTGGTCAGGATCTAGAAGTATTTCACAATAATGTCAGCAGTAATGTACTGTATTGACTTCCAGGTAGTTACAAACTGGAGCACAGAAATTGCTAATCTAATATATTTATATCATTGCTTTAAAAATGTCTTGTCAAAACAATCCTGATAGACAGCTTTTAAAAGTTATCAATTACACAGCATATTATTCCTTAAAAAACAATTACATATTCTCTCATTATATTTAAGATCAGAATAGATAATAATTTATACGTAATATTTCAGTTGCTCTTTCTCAGAGGGAGAAATCTGAACTTAGACACTGGCTTTTAATATTATGGTTGGTTTGTTTTGTCTCACTTTTTGTTTTTTGGTTGTTGTTTCTTTCTTCAGGTATGCTTATAGGTAGTGATAAAGTTGCTTATTAGGTTAGAATACATTATATGTTCCTTTACATCTTTAGATTGGGGTAAATTTTACATTTTTATACAAGATGGTCAATCCAAAAAGTATCCAGCCATGTAAAATGAAAAATAGAGACACAT